TAAAATATTTGAAATATTTTGATTTGTTTTTAGTTATTTTTAGAAATGTTAATTTTTAATTTTTATAGCTTTCTTTTCTATAAATATTAATACGATTTTCTTCGATAAGTCGTAAGGTTTGAAAAACTAATACAACGTTCTTCATTAGTTATAATAGCAGTTAAGAAATATTAAAGACCCATAGTCACAATATTTTATAAGTTAGAGTTAAAATTTAACAAAATCTCGAACATTTTCAAATTATTTTGTAGTTAAAAAATATAAATTTAAAAAATACTGATCATTATAAATGATTCATCATATTCTCCAATACAAATTTAATCTAATATTAACTATAAATGAACAGTAGAAAAAAATCTGATATCCAGATTTGTGTTCAACAGTTTTAACTTTGGGTAGTAACCTTTAAAAGGAGTGTGAATTGACCAATGATCAAAGTAAGGTAAAAATATTATCAGTTTTTACATATACCGTTTATGATACTTAAATTTGTTATTCATAATAAACAAGTTGTATGTAAAATATTATAATTTAAAAAACCTCAAAAATTATTAAAAATTAAAATATCATATGAAGATTATAAATGGTCTTTAAAACACAAAACTGTGCAATAAAAAATAAACAATCTTAACAATAGAAATCAAAGATAAAATGTATGTATCCCCTCAACATTTTCTTTTTTCACCAAAAAGTGCATTTTGGTATGAAATCTTAAATACTCCACTAGTGGATAACTTTTATTTTCAAATTATAGATTAATGAATTAAATTAAAACATGAACACAAACAACAGTGTGACAGAAACTAATAATCACATGACAATGTGATTATATCACATTGACAGTTATTGCTTAAACCATCAGTTTACTGAAAATAAAAATCATAAATTAATTATACTGYAGCATTGTTGTTGGAATGTTTGGAATAAGAAATATTTAAAATTTGTCACTTTCTCTTAGCCAGCCAAGGRAAAATTCAGGAAGATTCAGGAAATTTTATGGATAATGAAAAGTGTACTTCTTGGTGAAGAAATTGGTAAGTGATTCAAGGACTTGGCAGAAAATGGAATACTGTGGCAATTAAAAAAAATAATCTTAATGAAGTTTTTCCAGCTGGAGAATGGATTGACATAGCTATGAAATTGTTCAGACTTTCAAAATATTCATTTTAATTGGAAATTATTAATTTGCAAAAAGATTTTTCATTGAAAATTTACAAAACTACAACTTCTGAAGAGTTTTAGGCAAAGCTTGAAATTTCATTATCCAAAAAGACGTTTTAAAAAATAAATATCRTTCAATATTAACAGATCTCCACCTTGAAAACACATTGTGCATTAGTTGTTCTCCAAGAGTACCAAATTTCAAAAAAACTGACTTCAAAACAAGAAATGTAATTTTTCTCATTAAAATTTTAAGAATAAAATTATGTTATTATTAGAATGAATGCATAATTAGGTACTTTAGATCAAAATTTTTAAAAATAGTTCAAATAAAAATCAAACCACTTGAAAAATTATACCATTTCCAGTATGTTGGATACTTAGCTAGCTCAAAAGTTATTACACTTAAAATTACAGAAWAAAACTTAATCAAAAATATAAAATAATAGTTCGAATAACATAAATATTAGTTTTCACAAATGTATACATTTAGATATGCTGTTAGAGTATTTTTTTAAATAATTTTAAATAATTTATTTTTCTGTGTTATATATTTCACAATTAAAAAACAGTCAGTAAATTTGAATTATTGTTTTTCATACAGTAATGGCAAACATACCTAATAGTTTGTATTACCTATTATTATTGTTTTTTGAAATTGCAAGAAGTCACAAAAATTAATTTTAATATTTAAACTACTCATTTAAATATTTTTTACTTAGAAACAAGACTAAACCTTCTGGTACTTGATAACAATATTGATGTTACAGTTTTTTTTTTTTGACAGCCAATATTTTAATTAATGCCAATTACCAGTAAAATATTACCAATGTATTAGCTAATATTATTTACTTTGTATGTATTTACCATTTATTTAAATTTAAATGTTATTAAGGTGTTTCAAAAAGATTTGTTTTCAATATTTCTGTGTTATGGTTATTTATTAATTGTTAACTGCTAAAAATGAATATGTAATTTATAATTATTTTAAATTTTGTACAGCTTGTATTCCAATATTTTTTTTATGACTTAGCTAAAAATTTTGTTTTTAAATACCAAATATCAGTTTTAAATTGGTAAAATTACTTATAACACTTGATTTTTTATTGCTGAATACATATATATTTTTACTTCTGTGATCTTTTTTAAGAACTGTTTGCAAAAATATTAATAATTCACATTCCGGTGGATTTGTTCATTATTTTATTAGTAATTTTATTTTTTTATTAGCTTCAATTAAWCAGGTCATTTAGAATTATGATAAACCCTGTACTTTAACTTTTAATTAAATCTACTACTAAAACATTTTAATTTTATAAGGAAAATTCAATATTATTTAATCATATGAATAAATAAAATATTTACAGGAAACTTAAAACCATCAATACACCTAATCATAAAAATATCTCTGAAAAATAAATAGAATAATTATCAAAAAATCTTGTATCTATATTTCAAAATAAGTGTACACTAYAGGTATATTCAGCAGTATTCTATGACCCAATGWTACTTTATATAATAAGAAGTAAAAAAATTGAAAATGTMAATTAAGAGTTTAAAATGAGTCTAAAACTGAAAGTTTTATAATTAATATTATAATAGAAAAATAAATATTTGGTGAACATTTAAAGTATCAATGGTAACTAATTTTTGAATTACAATAATATAAGAATATTGTTCTGTGAATATAGATTGAAATATTGAATATTTAAATTCAAACGCTTATAAAAAATGTATTCAATATACCGGTAAACTTTTATTTTGTTAAATATAGAAAAACATTGTAGAATCATTCTTGCATTTAATTTGCAAATCTTAGATATCAAAAAAAATATTCTAACACAAAAAATTTACAATTTTTCATAATAATGACGAGTGTTGTCAAAATTGTAACTTTAGACACTCACAAAAATATTGTGAATTTATTCTCAACTTTTTTCTTGAAAATCTCAGAGCAAACAATCTTTTAGGAAAATAGATCAAAAAAATCCAATAAAAATCAAAATTTTCTTATGCCTATAAATACCTTAAACAGTAAAAATATTTTTAAAATTGTATTTTGTATTAAAAATGCTAATAATTAATATAACATTCAGTGAAAATTTAACGTACATAATATGAACAACACATTAATTGTTTTTAGAATTATACCAAATAATAAATTGAGGTTTTAGAAATCTCTTATCTTCTTGATTTTTGAAAATTAAAGGGAATTTTTCACTTTRGATACGCCCAAAGTATCACTAGATTCACTTTGCTATCAGAAAATAAGGTGAAGTAAAAAATTGAAGCATTTTAGGAGTCCAAAAAAAGATGACATAAAAAACAGACACACATTGTTGTAAAAGCAATATCTACATTCATTGTTCCACTCAAAATCCAAAAAATGGTCATGGTGGGAGGATAGGAGGTCAATCCCTCATATTCTTCTGTAGTAGTCAATACACAGGAGTTAATTTATACATTATCTTAAGCCGTTAAAATTTTATATTTTGAGCATAACAATGAATGAATTGATTTTATAATGATGTGTTTTTAGAAAACAATTTTTTGTGTCTCATCACTTTTTGAGGCAGTAATTTAATGCTTTGATTTTCTATTTTATTATCTATTCTGATAGGAAAGTGAATCTAGTTGATAATTTGGGTGATCATAAAAAGAATTATATTTTCACATGATGTTAAAGTAAATTAGGTATATTAATTTATAAATAACACAATTCGTAAAAAAAAAAGTTTTGTATGAAATATTATTATTAATTATTATAAATTATGATTTATTGAGTGGTCCTGTCTCAGTAATTTCTTTGGACCAATATTTAACCAACTTGCCACTAAATATATATTAGTAAATATTTATAACTATGAAATATATAAATAATAAAACATAAAACAAACTACTTACAGTTACATTATTTGGTACAAGATCTAATAAAGCCGCTCTTCTATCTAATGGACGGTTCTCTTTGGAATAAGGTTCAGTTTTCAGGCCATTTTTTTTTAATTGATGTCGAGTGATTGGTGGCATTCTAAAATTAAATTTTAAAAACATAATGTACAGTTTTACTTATTTAAATTGTATTAACAAACAATCACTTACTGTTAAAATAAAAAATTTAATAAATCAAGCTATTATAAAAAATTTATTAAAATGTAAAATTTTAATAACCAATCCGTTCTATCTAGACTAGACACTACATTTTTTACATGGTATAAAATTTCGCTACTAGTCTAGATAGAACGGATTGGTTATTAAAATGTAAAATTTTAATAACCAATCCGTTCTATCTAGACTAGACACTACATTTTTTACATGGTATAAAATTTCGCTACTAGTCTAGATAGAACGGATTGGTTATTAAAATGTAAAATTTTGATCTAAAATAATTATGTTTCACTGTATAATATTGTTATTAATATCAATGTAAAGATAGTACTTATTAGTTATTAGTTATTACCAAAATAAAAAAAATTAATAAATGTGTACAAATAAAATACAATCCTAGTGTTTAGTTATACATAAGCTACATCTAGATAATATTATATTTTTACCAAATACCAATAGTCAATTAATATTTAAATAAAAGTACATAGCTCTACTCCAACTTTTTTAAGTCATACACAGTTATAGATATCTAGATTGTTTTAACTACATGTCTCCACATTCCACTTAATCCTATCATTATTTAATAAAAGTAATTAAACAATGTATTCATTAATTGTTTAGCTATAATTATAATATCATGTTAAAATGTATTATTTTACTAAACAGTGAAGATTATCATCAATACATCAACTAATTATTATTTATCTCTGTATCTGATATATGTTTAAGTATTGTCTGTATGCTTACTGTTTAGTGAAACCCTTACATTAATGTTGGTTTTTATGTAAGTTCTTCAACTTGAATATAGAAAAAATAATTTAATAGGAACAATTAGAATTMATTTAATTTAATATGATAAAAAGATTTATGATCAGAGCAACATGCTCTAAAAATTCTAGAATGATAAGCTTAAAATTCTTAAATAGCAATTACACACTTATCAGGCAGGCACTAGAATTTTTAGAAAATATTAAGAAACAACAATTTTTGGAATTTTTTACAAATATAAAATAAATGCTTATGGCTTGATGTGATGCAGTATCTGGCTTTCAATCAAAAAACATGTCTAAGAGCCAGCAACAGTTAGTGCCACTAGTTTAAGGATGGGTGACCATACAGGTTCTTCATGGAAAATCCTTGTCACATATACATGTGTTTAAACCAAA